TAAATAGTGCACAGTAAAACTGAATTTTAAATTTTTGAAATGGAGACATCATGGCGGTATCATTCTTGGTCCTTTCGTCGAACATTGATCTTTTAACCTTTCGTTTATACTTTTCAGAAAACTCTGGTTCGATCGATAGCTCGTTAGCTAGATTTTATGCTGAATCACAGCTCTATTTGATTTTTTTCTGAAATCATTCGAAAAGCCCACAAGCCCCTGCAAGTGTTTTAATGCAACCTCAATGAAAACCATTTTCCCTCTACAAATTGCGACTTTATCAATACTTCTAAGAATATGATCCCATATAACCAGTAATCAAATAAATTCAAAATTAATCATTTTAAAAATGATTTTAGCTGAAGATACAAAATCAGATGTATGTGTCCTCTTTGGATCATTATCTTCTACGGTGGCATGTAGTGATGTTTTCATTATTTGCGATACTTGAGTATGCAATACGTGAAATTGTAATGTAATTTGTAATTTGGTGGCCATCTCTTATCGAAATGGCCCTTCAAAGTCAATTTATAATTTGACTGTATAATAAAACGTGCCAATTTCAATCGATCCGGAAAAAATAATTAAAGATATTTTGCTCTGTGCCAACAATCATAGTCATTTCTGGTGTTACACAAGACGCATATGCTCCAATTAAATTTAGTGAGTGAACACTACTTGATATTGATAAAAATCTGGCATGTTCAATTAGTTGTAGGAATAATATTAAACGCGCTTGAACACCTTGATATTTAACTGCCATTGGCATACGACAGTCCCGCACGATCTGAAAGTATAGGTACATTTGGTTTAATTAACAATTTTGTCCGTAAGACCACTTCCGTTTATTAATCAATTTTTATAAAAGACTGACCAAATTTGTGACGAAAACTTAAATGACGGCCATGAATTGCTTTTTTAAAAAAATATTTTATTTAGGGTTCGCTACAAATGCTATGTGTTAACGTAAGGGGGTCGTTCCTTATCCGTGTGGGTGCCTATCGTAATCAAGGGCAGGTGTTTATGCGAGTTATCATTCTGTTTTAATTTTGTGTGCCTGTGCCCCAGCGCCCGCAGGTCGTGCGACTCGGCAAAATGCCCCCCCCCCCCCCCCCCCCAGGATTGGATGGCAAGCGCCCATACCAGCCCCTCGCTACGACGATGATATCTGTAGTTAAAATTGCGGAAATGGTATTCTGGAAAAGCGGTTGTAAATGGGTTATTTTTCTCACAGTTTAATGACGTTTCATCCTTTTTACGATTAGCCTAAACTCACTCAGGTTTTAAGTATTTCCGGGGAGGGCTCGAACATCCTTTGACGGTCATGTAGGATGATGTGGTGGGTTACTGTGATCCAATCTATTTAATGGGGAATGGAAGCAAGCAATCACATTTTCTTATTATTCAGTCAGCATGTGCTACGCTTTCTGTTCACTCTGATGTTCAGTCTTTTGTGCAACCACGACTGACGGCAGAAAGGGATATGTGGGGATGAACTAAAGCGTCAAATGCCGGAGGGGGTGGACCGGTACCACCATTTAAATGGCTCTAACAATGGCAGCGCAGGGGCCCATCCAGGCTTAAATTTTTGTTTTTCTGGGGGGGGGGGGGGGCGTCCTAATTTTTCGCTATACATAATGTACATATTTCTTACCATGTTGTATATTATTTATGTACTGTAGATTCGATACTACTCAATATTATTGTTTAAATAATTACATAATTCGAACATACAGAAATATTTAAATCCATTTTGCCAAATAAAAGAGATACACGAAACATCTAGGTCTCCCCCCTCCCCTGATCCACCAGTGGTGCAGTGTGAGGGGAAATCAATTCAGGTAGAGTCAAAGAAATGGAGGAAAACTAAGGAGACAAATTAATAAAGTATAATTATTGTCATTAAAACCACAGTTGATACGAGCATAGGATCAAAACATTGCTTTTGCATAAAGAAGTTGCGCCATGACAAAATAGCAATTATGATATACAAAATGTGTAACTTCTTAATTTGTATAATTGGTGGTTCAAGAATAATTTTCTACACATTTTTTTCTGAACCATAATTTACTGTACACTTTGATGTGATTATGATAGTTATAATATTGTATTGTTCAAACAACACTTTTCTTTTGTCTATTTTGAAGGGGAAAATGAAAATTATAATTTATACTTTCAAAAATTTATTAGGGAACATAAGAATTGGGTAAGACTCTAACATTCATTGTGCAGTAAGAAGTGTTTCAGCACTAGATACATATCTGAATTATAATTGAAGTTGGATTATTGTTGAAAGTTGTTGTTACCACTGTGCGTTATGACAGGATGTTCCCAATGTCTACCCGAACTGTTCTATATGTCCTTTCTATTGTGAAAGCTTTTCTTTAACATGGAAGTACATCATTTTACCCATTTTCATCTTCAAGTGTTTAAATGCATATTTAGATCCAACTTCAATGTTCAGTGATGAAAATAAAAAATCAATGTAACTACAATAAATTTAGAAAAGTTTATGATGAATTATGCAGAATTTTTAAACCATTTCTCACCAAATATTAGTCTGAAGTAGTTTCTTATTTACACCTTGAGTGCATGAATTTAAATTGTGGTTTCTTTAAAAAGAGATAATTTTGTGTTCTAACCATAGATCATTTTGCACATCAAATCCATGATAAAGTGGCTGATTCTATCAATAAGTTACTCATTGAGGGCAGAAACTCAAATAATTCTTTAAATATTGAGGTTCTATTACATCTCAGTATGTCTGCTGCAAAAGTAATGTCCTATTTAATTTTCAAAACAGGATCCAAATAAGGAAAAATTGTACCTGACATTTAGGCTATCTGGGATGAGCTGCGTGGCTCATCCCAGACAGCCTAGATAATACAAACTCCAGCCGTGGAAGCCCATGCAATCATAGCTGACATTTGTTGTCTACATTTGCATTGTGTAAGTTCATTAATATTAACAGATTAAACTTTTCAGCCGGCTAATTCAAGTTTGAGAGGATAATCACCGTAGTCCTTGAACTGTGAATTAAAAGGAATTCACAATACCAGAGTTTTATATACATTAACATTAGCTCCATGAAATTTTGGTTCTTAAGAGATGTTGCAACTAACAGTTGGAGCTGTAATTGTAATTAAGAAAAGAAATGAAGTAGTAAAGCTGCCAGCAATTCAAATTATTAGAAAATTAATTCACAATACACCAAAAAGAAGACAAAACTTGTTATTTTAGAATTATGTCCCATATTCTAGAACCCTGCAAGAAGAGAATCCACTTATAGGAGACAAAATGGACTGTCCCAAGTTCATTTATATATTATGGGCATTTTTTGCCCACATGAAAGAGACTATTTAAGTTTCCCATCTATGGTAGATAATATTGGTTCCAGAGAGTGCTTTTCTTATAGAGGGTCAAACGTCAAAACAAGAAATTTTCCTAGTTCACAAGCCAGATCACTTACTGAATTTACTCTCAAGCACCTACATAAGGCTGCATAAGAAGGGATTCCCATTTACAGAATTACCTTATTAAAAATAATTCAGTTCATTTGTGAAAGGTGAAAATCTGTCTCTACTTTTCCAGTGAAATGTTTTGAGGAAGACACTAACGCACACAGTCAAGAGCTTCTTGCAATCAAGATCTTCATCAAGAACGATCAAGTCCAGGTAAGTTGAGCTGCTCAATACTAGTCACAGTGAGCTGTGCAATTATGGATAAGATGTAAGACTCATCAACATTAAGTACCTTATACTACTTCTCACCATTATGATGATAATGGTGGTAATTCTCCAATGGGCAGAACTGGTGAATACATTTGCATGGTTGGCAATATGTCAATACGTAGAACCCACCCCTACCCCGCAGGGATGGCTCCAAAAAAAGTTAAGGTCCATACAAAAAATCTTGACATCATATGTCTTGTCAAAAGCACATCACATGTAACAAAATCTCATGTGAAAATGAACTTTTATTTCCCACTTTTATGAATTCTTGCCTATAAGAGACAAAAATCTAGTTCCCCAGATACTTTAATGGGTTTTTATAGCAATTGGAATTTTGAAGTGTTAAAAACTATGGTTAAGAGAATAATTAGTAAAATTTGCAAAAGTCATTGTCATCATTTAAATAAATATATAATTGAATGATTTTATTATAAATGTTTTTAGTTCAGCAAGACATAAACACATAATATTACTTTCTACATTTATTTTAATTAATCTATGTAAAACATGAAGTTGGTACATTTAGGGTGAATTTGCATTGCCTCCTTTGAAACAGCATATCTTGGGGAGCATCAATGTTGACATATTAAGTTCTTTCAAAGAACATTTGAAAGTTTATATTAATTTTAATTTTGAATTCAACAATAACTGAACTTCTATAGTAAAAGTAGCACAATTAAATTTAGAAAAACAATTACAATTAATGCAATAATCTCTAAACATGAAAAAATCATTACATTTTTTAAATTTACAATTTCAATCCCTTTGCCACTTTGATCTTTAATAATTGACCCTTGGGCTTAATTGTGTCCAAATTATTTGCAGTTTATAGATGGAAAGAAAATACTTCAATAATGGGGGGAAAAAAGTTAATGTAATCCTGTAATATAATGTTAATATAATACATGTATAACAACCTGAAACCTGATCTTAACACGATTTCGAAGTGTACATACAAGCTGAAAGATGAATAGTTAATGTATTGTATTAAAAAATAATACCACTTAAATCACAATAATTTAAAATATATTTTAAGAAAACTATTGTTACTAGAAAAAGTTAAAAGCAAAGTAATTAATATTTTGTCTCATATTACAATTCTTTGATTGAAAAATAATACTATTACTGTGGTCTTACATTTCTTAACAAAATTCTATACTTTTGACTTAAAAATGTTACTTCTTTAACAACAATGTTTTTTGGTAAATTTTTAAGGATTGTACACTGCCTCAAAATCATCACTTCTAACAACACAAGAAACAAGAAACTCACCTTTATTAGAGCGCCACAGTCTTTCCATTCCATTGCGATGCAATGCCATGCGAGAGAGCTCACTGAAGCTTTCACGAATATTAAAATCACATAACTGACTCACTTCAAAAAATGCCATTCTGTTCTTAGCTGCATAAGCCTCTGCTTCCCTAGCACCAACTTGACGTTTGAAAGCTAGATGAAGTCGATTGCCAACCAGAACTTTTGGCACACCTGGTGCATGCTATTCAAGCAACACAACAATATGATATAATAAAATACTAATTTGGCTTCAAATCAAGTTGACAACACCTATGTATAATTTGTTTACCAACCTCTTCAACTTCCTTCAACCATCGGTCAATGCCATCAAATGACCATTTATTTGTGATGTCATATACAAGTAAAATACCTTGGGCGCCTCTTGAATAAGATCTTATTATAGTGCAAAATCGACCTTGTCCTGAAGTGTCCCATAACTGAAGTTTTACCCGTTTGCCATCCAAAAGAATAGTAGTTGTCTTGTACGCTGAAAATAAATTCACACGTAATAAACACTGCACACTATTCGGTAACTGCAATTTAATATACGTATCAAGTGACGGCATAGGACGCTCTAATAGGACGCACCACTCCCACTGCAGAACGGCGACTCGGAAGAGCCATCTTCTAAACCGCTGAGAATTTCTTGCTTACCAACGTCGCTATCACCCACTAGTAAAAATTTTAATAGATAATCATACTGTTTTTGTTGCGAAATTCTTGGCTCCACAGCCATAACAATATATTTGTCTTGTACACCATTCTTCGGGAGAAACTGGCCTACTTCACTTCACTGTCAACATCTGAAAATTTTCACTACAGAGGGCAGTTCGACGATGTAAATAAATCAAAATAGTGCCTCGAGTGAACGAAAATTAACGTAAATATTCAGCAACTTGCAGTTTCGCATTCAAATGGAAGCAACAAGAAAAAATACAGTTTCAGATATAATGGATAAGGTGTCTTTTGTTAATTACGTGAGTGAAATATAATATTATAATGACAATGGATTATTTTTGACGTGGTATACAGCACTGCACCACTGCACTGATATAATATCAATGGCTTCAGAGCTTTGTTTCTCAAATAATATTACAAAAATATAAGTTAAACTTATAAATAAAATAAAAAAAATACTTTCTTGGTCTTCTATTTTTTCAGCTTCCCATGTTGACACGAGCTACAGCTGACAATCAAGAACCAGTACCAGGTTATCTCTTTCAAGAAATCGAAAGTATCCTTTTCTTTAGCTGTCAACTCGACGATAAAAAATTTATGTAAACTACTCTGTAATCTCTTAAAGTCGCCGGGTGTCTGCTTCTTTACTCCAACCCTGCTTGTTTATGAACCTTAGCAAATAAAGAGATCATACTGCAGCCAGAGCCCAGCTGTCAGTTGCTTGTGGATTACCTAACTCAAAGGCTTGACAGACCTTCTGCAGCTGTCAAAATGAAGGTGGGATAAGACCAAGACCTGACATTTGAGAAATGGATCAATAATTGAAATGTCAAAGAAAGCTTCAATACATATTCAAAATTATGTTTGTAATAATCGTATACATAATCACGAATTTAGAAAGTGTATTCTTTTAAGGTTTTAAAAATTATGAAGCATTTAGTTAATAATGCACCAAGACATTTTCGATATCATTTACGAAAAAAGGATGGCTCTATCAAGATGGCAACTTCATATCATGAAGCTCCTAATCCCCTTACTGGTACATCTGCTGCAGAAGCTGTACGCAAACATTCTCAGGTACTGTCATCTGAATTAGTGATCACTGCTAATATACCTTTGTTTCAGTCAATTTAAATTATTTCTCCGATTTCATTTTATGACAATTTTTTAAGGATTTGTTGCAACTCCTTTTTGATGCACAACTCATGGCTGCTGATGAGAATCCTCAGTCAAAACAAGTAGCATCATCAAATATACCTAAATTAGGTGGATTAGGGAGTTCAAAAGCAGCAAGTGGAAAATATGAGGGATTTGGTAGCAGCCCTATGCAAAAAGAAAGTAAGAATTATAATTTTGTACTTCTTATCTGTCATACAATATTTAGCATTTTTACCTTTTCCTCTGGTCAAAAAATGCCTATATGTATTTTATGGGTGAAAGAAAATAGGTAATGTATTTTGCAGACACTTATTTAGGTGCAGCTTTGAATGTGAATTGGAATAATTACTTGATTTTATTTATTTCGTGAATGTTAATGTGTTCCTTTTCAAGGGATCCAAATTTTTATTCATTAATTTTGGTTGTGTTTTGACTTAAATGATATATGTGTATGGCTTATATATTAGCACCTCATCTAATTTTGTCATTTAGTGTCCATTACAGATAAAATACTGCAAACTATTGAAAGCTGGGCGTCAACACCTGATGAGACCAATCGTATTATACAAGAGGCATTGTCCAATGATCCAGGAAACTATGAACCCATACCTGTGAATTTAGTGCTTCCTTCTCCATCTTTAAAACCTCCTACTCAACCACAAAAACCACCTGTAAAGAAAAGAGGTAACTTTCATTCACTTTTTATTTGAAAAGTTTCAGGCAGGTCTTAACATATTTGCATAATTCATATTTTTATAATTCCTGTGGACAAATAGGTCTCTAACTTAAAATTTGAATTTTTGAAGACTAGATTTTTTAATAATTAAAAATGGCTTCACTTCGATAGGCATTTTGGAACACAATTCCAATGATAATTACTTCTTCATTTACACACAATTGGATGATGACCTGCATGTATAGACAAAAAAGTAAAGGCAAAAAAGAGTGGGTCGAGGAAGTCATATAAATGACATTTTCCCCTAAGGTCAATTATAGAAAGTGAGCTAGTCCCACTACGGTAAAATTATGGATAAACTTGTTTCAAAGTTTACAGTAAGATAATTATGGCACAGTGCATTATATGCATCATGGTTTCAGGTAATTTTCACATCTGTATGATAATTGTCAATTGTGCCTTGTCATTATACAAGTAAGGAATAAAACTGTTGGAGAGAAATAAATATCTATTTGTATCAAGAGCAGTAATAAATAATTCTATCTACTAGACCAAATCAATAATTGTTAAGTGTTTAAAATGACCTTCGAGATTCTGAGAACCTTGTTTGTAACAACTGGCTTTAATCAGTATTACTTTTTTGGATTACCTTATATTGTTATTAATTGGTTCTGAATGCTGATGACACATCATCTGATTGTTAGAACTGATGCATCGTAGACACTGCAAACTTGTACACTTACACTAATCTTTAGTCTCCAAATATAAAAAATATTTTTTTGTTTTTTGTTAATTTATATTTCTCTTTATATTTAAGTCAATTTTCAGTAATGATGTTTATTTATCCTAATAATTACTACTTACTGATTTTATTCTGGTTTCATTATTAATCATTACTTCTTTCCAAGCAATTGCCATGCAATGCCATGAATGTTTAACAATGCTCAAGTTTGTACCAATGTTTCTTGGAAATTGCATCTGCTTTAAGTAAAAATGTGTGATCCATGAACATGTGCAGTTTCATTGTTACTTAGATGTGACTTATGATCAATACTTCTTGTTTACAATTAACTAAAGGGAAGAGTAGAAAATCACTTCTTGGTCAACGTTAAATTACATCTTATTTCATTGATTTCAGAATGTAAATTTATCAGAAAATAAATGGCATTTCACGTTTGAAATTATGATAGGTTTCATGTAGACTAAATCAAAATAACATTGATTTGTAATCATAAAACATATGTCTCATTGACACAATGACTTATTGTTTATATAATTTGGAAGAGCAAGTACTATAAAGCAATTCACTTTTTTGTTCATAGTAGAATCTGTTTGTAAGTTATAGTTTCGGAATTGTTCAAGAGCGAATGACATCAACAACTGTTACTAATTTTCAAATTTTGTATTTATTGGTAAAATAGTTTGATAATCAACATCTAAAAGGCAGAATTATATATATGAGTTGAATTCAATAATGTTATTGAAATCTATATATTCATATGATCAATATCATTGGTGTCTAGTTGTTTTTATTGTAATTAAAGAATCTACAGATTCATCTAATAATTATAATAATCTTGCATTGTTTGCAGTGCATATCCCAGGCAAGGCAGGTGGTGGTTGGGAGGAACTTCCAGTTCCTTACTCAAGTAGTTTTTTAGGAGGAGACAGTGTAGTATCAGCAGACTCTTCGTCAGACCCGTAAGATATATTACAAAATTTATATTTTACCAGAGTGATTAACCTTGCAGTAATATTGTCCAATGTTTGGAATATGTTACCGTCATTACAAATTATCTAGTTAAGACAACTGGCCTATTGAAATCATTTTATTTTAGAGGAGCTAGAGAGACTACTGAGAATACAGTTTCTGAAGTAGATGACGTAAACACATTGCCTCCTGAAGCATCTCTTGTGCAAGATTTTTGTTCTTCCGGGCCTCTGCCGTGTTCACTTTCAGAAATTCGCTCTACTGGACAGAGGTTAGTTTTCTCAGTGATATCAATTGGTATATCTGTATCTGAAGAATCACTCAAGTATTTTCTCTTTATTATTTATTGCTTACATTTTTAGGAATAAAATAATCTGTAGTGTAAGGATATCCAGGATCAGGGAGGTAAGGATCAGGTAATTATGGCATCAGATCGGGAAGATATGGAGTATATGCTTCGAAAATTAAAAGAAGAATAGGAAAAATGGGGACTTAAAATGAACCTTAAAAAGACAGAATATTTACGCATAGGAGGAGATGGTTCTAATATTAATGTCGCTGATGACGAGATAGCTAACATTTCAAAATTTAAATATCTTGGGACTGTAATTACTGACGGTGGGAAAATTGATGAAGATATAACTACTAGACTTGCAATAGGGAGGAATGCAATCAAAGCTCAGCATGGCCTTATATGGAATAGTGTTTTAAGGCAAGACACAAAGCGACACATATTCCACAGTATTGTGGAAAGTATTATATTATATGGAGCAGAAATGTGGCCGTTAACAAAACGCCGTAGAGACAGAATACGGTCGGTAGAGCTCGACTTTATGAGAAGATCTTTGCAGATAACAAGACTGGATAAAATAAGAAACGAAGTGGTGTGGGAAAGAGCTGGGGTTCAAACAACCATAACCAGAAGACTAGAAAATAAAGCTCTTCAATGGTATGGACATGTCCAGAGGACGCGAAATGAGAGATGGCCAAAACAAATTTTAAATTGGATACCTGAAAGAAGACGTAGAAGAGGTGGACCTGGTTTAACCTGGAAAAAATATATGTACATGAAGTTATGGAGGAGAAAGGATTGGAAGAGGGTCAATGGGAGGACCGAGAATTATGGAAATCGAAAACGGCAAACTCTAAGGTATAGAAACCGTCTAAGAAGAAGAAGTGTAAGGATATCTAAATGCATGGAAAAATACTTGTAGGAAAATTCAATAAATCACAGCACTGTCGTAGGGGAATTTACTTTACAATAAGAACTGAAACAATGGTCTGATTTTCGATCTGTAAACAGCATTTGACGCCTCTTTAAAATAGAATTTACGCTACAAAGCCCTTTTTCCAAAAATCTGGCAAAAACTAGAATTTGAAATTGGTTCTCGAACTTCCGAGAAAAAATTAAAAAATGTGGGTTATAGCGTGATGGCTACATGTTTCCTGAATCCAATGCCGTGTCAATCATGCAAATCGGATGAATAGGGGCGTCATAAAGTGAAATTTGGGAAAACACCTCGCCCCCTCCTTGAGCAAATGCTGAGATGGGTCTTTGTTTTACGTCTGGACATAGATGTATCTTCAAATTAAGCCTTGCAAGATTGGCTTTCTCCTCGTAGCACATCCACACAGTTTTTAGTATTTTTTGTGATGAACATATTTCACACAATATTATACAAAAACAACGAACATTTTCAAAGAAATGTGCATGACATCAATGAAAGAATTAGGGAAAACAAATTTCATCAATACTCTGCAATTACATCAAACTGTTTCATCAATAATCTCTATCTTCAATACTGTAGTTGTGAGAAGACGCCCCAAAAATTTAAACTTTTGTAACCTTCAAAAAATCAAAGTTAACTGTAAACATCGGACCTATGCCACCGTGAGAATATATTTCAATCTATTCTTACAACAAATCCGAAGAAAAAACTGGAGCCATTTTTGAGAAAATATAAAAGATGTCCTTGGGGCGTCATTTAAAGTATGAAAATTTTAAACAATATTTTTCAAACTCGTAAAGCTTTGGGACTGGCCAGATCGACCAGTGAATATTCACTTTCGATAAAATTCTACGAATACTTGTAGTTTCGGCCCTAATGTTGTTCACAGATGAGCAGACAGATGGTCAGACATTTTGAAAAATCAAAAACACTTTTTCGGTGTCAGAGGGTCCCAAAACATGCATTTCGTTGAAATCTCAATATTGATTTTCCATATCATTATATATTACAAAGTGTATAGGTAAGTATACGAGAATGTAAAAGCAATGTTGTGATGCAGAAAATAGTGAAAGCATTATTTGAGAAATCTCAGTCAGGCCACAAGAGAACCGCCTGTTTGTCTGCCTTGCACCTAGCCCGCCTTCCTTATCTCTTACAGAATGCTTCCATGCCCTTCGGAGCCGGCGCCCTCACGCGTGGCGGTGGTGCAGCATGGGGAAGTGTGGCATTGTATTTTGCCAAATTTCACTTCACAACACGCCTATTCAGCCGATTTGGATCGATACGGTGTTGGATTTAGGAAGCATTTTTCCATCACGCTATAAGCCCATATTTTTAAATTTCTTCTATTAAAAACTCTCAATTTCTTCTTAAAAAACATTCCAATAAAAATGTCCAAAACTCATTTTTTCATTTTTTTCAAAGAGGCTTCATAGCATAAATTTTATATTAAATACAAATTCTATGTCGTTTACTGGTTGGAAGTCGGACCATTTGTTCAGACGTTATTAGTAATTTTGGCTTATTTTGGTGCTGCTACATGGTGGTGACAAATTGAACTAGTGTCGGTACATTTAGCCTTAATATTCCCCATTTTTTAACTAGGAAACCTAATAATGCTTGACCTTTCATACCTGACAAACTATTGTAATCTCCTTTAAAACATGATTCCACTTCAGTTTAATCTTATCTTTTGCAGTATATCTTGATAACATACTTCTTCAGTTCTGCAGCAACTTCTAGTTTCTTGTATTTTCAAAAATGTCTGAATATTCCATGTTGAGAAAGAAGACAAAAAATTCTTAAGAAAATGAAACTAGGGATGCTACAACAGTACTTATTTTAATGCTTTACATGTAACTTGCAGGTTTGGAAAAGCCATGCATCATTTTTATAAAAAAACTTCGCATTATCCAAGATAAAAATATAAAGAAAACTTTGGAGCCAGTTTTCATTTTTAAAATTGCTATTATTGCACACAAAATTTCTCACATTTTGAAAAAAATTGTACATGATCATTTTTAAAGATCTATTTTTGAAGATTTTTATTATGAAAGAAATCTATCATTAAGTTGTAGGAAAAAACCAAAAATATGATTTGCGGTATTTTTATGTTTTTTTCTCTTTTAGAGAACAAATTTAAAGACAAAAATTGGAGTCACTTTTGATGAACATTTTGAAAAGTCACCAAGGCTTCATGTAAAGTTCCGTCCAAAATGAAAAATATACATTTCAAATTTCAGGGGCTGCATCAGCGAGATCGATGTTCACAGATAACAGACACTTTGTTGTAAGCTAGGTTTTTCATTCCAAGAACCCAAAAAGCATGGACTCTAACTACATGATGTATTAGAGGAAGGTATTTACTACTACATACAGGAGCAAGAATTATCCATTCTTTTAGTGTCAGGGACCTGAGTTTTTCTATGGAAAAATTGGTTTTCTGATGCAGCATTACAATGTACTACATAAATTGAGGAAGTAAATAGGAAACAATCCTTGATGTTTTCTTGGTCAATTTAAGCATGTAGGGTTTATGTCAGGGATTTCCAAATTTTTTTGTTTTGCAAAGAATTTCTTTGCTTCATTGATCCCTTACATTTTTCTCTAAAATATACAGCAAGCATAATCTTAACAACACATATGACTTGTAGATATTTCTGTATACCACTTTTTTTTAATTAATATCTCAATTTCCAATAATTGGAGATGACCCCTTTTTTTTGGGTAGCCGAGTTTCTAATGTTTACTGTTCAGCCTAGGTTACAAAATTACATTTTCTTCAAAATATGCCAGAACATTTCTTTAGAGCGTATTGCGAAGAATATATTTTTTTGTGCAACAGAGTAACATTGCTAATACCTAGATACAATTAATTGAGTTTCCTAAACATCCAAACGATGAATACAAAAGAAAAGAAGGAAATTTGTAACTTATTATTAGATGTTTTGTAGAAAATTGTTAATTATCAATTTCATTAATATTTTTAGTAATCAATGGGATCATAATCTTGATTATACTGATCAGACACTGGTTCATATTAAGCTATTGACCCTCCAGTTCACCCCTTGATTTTGTTTCGTGTTGAACTTCGCAAAATGAGATATCATTACCTGTGACATTCCGCCATGAGAGACACAGTTAAATGATCTGGAGAACTTATAGGTGGTAGCAACCAGCGAACCTCGCATAGCAAAAATACTTTAATCTCTCACCTGCTGTTTATCATTAATCTATCACTTGACCTAAGGATGAGAGTGATGAATAAATGACAAAAGTCAGAGCCAGACAGTCATGCACACAGCCCTTGTCATTACTGGATGCCTCTGGAATTGGTGAGAGAAAACCACGGAAATAATACAAAATTAGAGCAGCTGACCTGTAGAAATCTTGATGATGTTGAGGCTAACATGAACCCAGCTGTCAAACTGGTGTTGAAGATACTCCCATTTAAAACAGTGGAGATGATTACTGTGGCATGCTCTAAAAGATAGGCAGCTGCTAATGTTACTGATATGATCCAAGAGGTAGGCCTATGCAGTGGAAAAGACTCATGCTGCATGTACCCACTGATTTTTCAGCAAATATTATCATTATAAATCTATGGTCACAGGGTAGAAGTTCTTAAGTCAAAAATCTTAGTTGGGAGAAAACAAGAGTTAGATTATTGAGCTGTATGCTATATTTCCCAATGCTTTTTTGTCATTAAGGAGCCAACATAAATTCGGTCGTTTTGTTAAAATAAAATATAGATACTTAACATATAGTTTCAGTACCCAATTTTGCCACAAATTTACTTAAGAACTTTTATCCCTTGTAATTTGTATTTCCCTATAATGCATGCATTTTTAGCATGTCAAGTTGGCGAGCCTCACCTAAAGCTGTACCTGGCAACATTAGCATCCCTACCCTTGCACCCTAGACTTCGGACCCCAATTTTGACGGGGAGTTGGAAGGTCACATCAACAAAATTGCAGTTGCATACTCTCGATACATATATTATTGCAATGGAATTTGTAATTATGATTCATGTGTTCTTCGTAGAGGTGTCACTCCATCCTTTTTATATTTGTTTCTTTTTCTGTATTCCTTGTCCAAGATTTTGAGGATTTCCGTCCAACCATCAGCATGTAAAATTTGAATATTGACCTTCCTGTAGTTCAGAAGCTTTCTAGATAAACTACTGAGAATTAAAAAAATAGGTAAAAGGTAGGTTATAATAGTGAGACAGGCATAAGAGGAAGTAGAACTTTTCTTCAGCTGTGTTATTACTAGTTAATGTGGCTGTTGATATTTCGTGATAATCTCAAAACGTAATGTTATTGTCTTTATGTGTAATACAAAATAGCCTTTGAATGTGTTCCTATTAGGTTATATGTAGTTACCAACACATTTTTGCATTGCTCCAAATTTTGATTCATTAATTCAATTTCAAACACTAGGTGTATTTTAAATGTTAGATTCTGCAATTCAGTGTTTGTGATGTGTTGATGCATTTGTCATTTTAAATAGCAAAAGGCTATCAAAGTTTCAGAATTCACTAAAAACTTAAATTGATGATGAGTGTTGAGAAGTCTTATTAATAAAAGATCTTGATAAGTTTTTGTTTATTTTGTGAAATCCGGTAATTGTGACTCAAGGCCCACAAAAATTCTAGATCTTCATTTAAACAAGAATTTTATTCAAAATGCTATACTTAAGTTTTGCCAATAAATGCACATTGGAAGTTTAAGTCTCCTATACAGACTACCTTGTGCACTGTGAAGAGAAAACTGAATAGTAAAAGCTCTCCTTCATTTGTCAGCAATTTTGACATGATTTCTCAGTTCATTACATTTAAAATAAACTGTGAATAATTGATCGTGATGCAATGGAGAGTAAAGTTCTTACATTTTAAGGCAATTCTGATGTGGTTTCAAAACTACATTTGGGAGATATCAGCTATTTCTTTTCAAGAACTCTGAGAAATATTTCTGCATATTTAAAAAAAAAATAGTTACATGTCTAATTTATTACATTAGAAAATATTTAAATAAATTTATGTTTTCTTCACAGATGCATCCAGTTAAATGTCAAGGAAGTTGTGCAATCCATTGTGAAAGTCCTAGAAACACGTTTTCCACAGTCAAGCAGAGAGGAAAGCCAGGAAGAACTAGAGACAGGGAATCCTGAGGTCCAGCTTACCCGAGCAATGCTTCTACTAGAGTGGTTACTTCGCACAGATTTGGTACATTATCCTACAGTTTCGGACATGTGTTGTTCGTCCTTAACACAAATAGCTTCTCTTAATAAATCTTCAGCCTCTTCTAAACCTTTACCCCTGCAGGCAAAGGCTGAAAAATTATTACTCATTTTGGAAAAACTCAAAGCATTGCCAATCTGATGACTAAAAGCAATAAAATTGTATTTTGATTTGTTTAACAAATTTTGTTTCTATTTTACTCGTTTTCCTACTTACAGATATCCCAAAGCCCCATCTTCCTATGGATTGACCACAAATGTATAACATTTTGATTACAGAACTTCAATTACTTATCAAGCATTGTAAGTAAATTAAATACAAAACTCTGAAGGGTTATTAGTACTGAACAGAGTGCAATAAGCAAATTTTTAGCACAATTTTATGTAAATATTGACACAGTTATAAATGTACAACTTTTTAAAACAATGTTCCCACTCACAGAGCACAACATTCCATGAAACAAGAGCCCACAAACTGTCCAATTTGTGGTCACATTGCACTGTCTTTCACGAAAACTAGTATTCATCAATACAGTCAAATTTACTTCTTCACAACTTGGATGACATCTTCATCATTCATTATATGCTGCAGACCCACTCGTTGAGGAGAGTATTTAGTGCTTGTACCCTGCAAGGGGAAAAAAATTGTAAAAGAACAGTCTTCTTTTTTAAACAGTTAATTTAACCCTTCAGGTGTGTACATGAAGATCCTCTATTCCCACAGAAGATAACTTGTTTGAATAACAAAGCTATCTTGCCTCTGAGGTTTGTTGAAATTGCCATTTTGATAGTTCTAAAATAACCTTTCAATTATTTTGGAAAGGTTTCCAAATATTTTTAATGTTTACCCTTGCTCATAATTGCAATAATTATATTAATGTATATTAAATTTTATTAGTAAAAATACCTGAATAATATATATAAGGAAAAACTGAGTCAATGTCATCTGTATCATTAATAACAATACTGATTATAGAACAAATGAACAGAGTACTGTTAGAAAAGGAGAATAATCCAAAATAAAACTTTGCACCACTGAAGGGAAAATAATAAATTAAAACAAGGCATAAAACCTAAAGCTCTGAAGGAATAAATTCTCTTTTGTTTTATTGCATGCGAGAGAAAAGGGATTATTTCTTTTTTAACTCTTCCAAATTATTCCTTTAAATTCTCGTTAAAAACAAAAACAAAACAAAAAATTGAATAAATGCACTAAGGTAATATTTCATCCAAACAAAGTTGTAATTTTTTTGTTATTAAAAATAAAACAAAAATATTTTTCAACAGTTTCAGAGCCAAAATATTTTTTTAACAGAAACCAAAACCTAAATGATTTGTTTACTGAAATTAAATTCCAAACAGATGCCTCAAGTTACACAATTTAAACAAGATCAGAAAATAACTTACCCAAACAAGAGCATATTTAAAGGTTTGAGCTAAAGTACGATGAATAGCATGGCAAACATGCTCCACATTGCAACCACGTCTAAGGATAAGGCCATCATCAAAATCAGGTGGTTGGCCTGGTTTTTTTGTGTACACACGAATAAGAGCAAGATGTTCCCATAATTCTTCCAACAAAAAGTCCAAATTCAACTTCATGTTACAGCTGCAATCACCAAAATATACAACATTTTAGTTTAATCACGTTTCTTTCAGACACACAATACTTGTCTTAGAACTGCCATTAAACATTTTTTCAACAAACTGTATAATTTTACAGCATAAACAAGAATTCTCAAGTTTGTGTGAATAACAATAGCACAAGATTAACAAATTCAATATAAGAGGAGAAATACAACTGGTATATGTAGAACTACTAAATAATTGTAAGGTAACAAATATTATTTCAAAACTTTAAAAATACTTGTTAATACACTTTAATAGCAGGTAACAGTGTAAACATATGCAAACTAATTTTGAAGTTAAAATGATGGAAAATAACTTTCAATCTTTGAAAAATGTTTTTCTTGGCTTTGTTTCTCCGTATTAGAAAATTTCCACAGTGTTGAAAACTTAAGTTTCTTCAGATTTTCTTTTCATTATTTATTTAACTACCTTTAAACAATGTCTGAAAATAGTATTTTAAATTGGAATTTTGATTCAGATAAAAACACTTTATTATTTTTTTAGACATGAAATGTTTATTTCAAAAGGTTCAGAGCTTAAAGACATTAAACAACTTTGGCAGAAAACAAATTTTTCAATTTGTAGATGCAGTTGGAGATTTAGGCTGAAAGCTGGAAATTGTATTTTGGAGTAAAATTAGTGTTTCACTTCATTTTTCTTAGAGAAAGCTGTTATCATCTTACCTGACTAAACCCACTCTGCCAATGATCTACTATGGTTATCATCTACTCTTAAAACTTTATTACAAAACACCTCGCTCTCAAAAGGATATTTACTTAACTTTTTTATTCAATGTCAATTCAGAATGAGATTCTATACGGTTTGATTTTTGGGTCTGTTGTTTTCCTTTACACAAAATATATTCCCTCTTTCACTACAAAATAAAGTTGTCTTTGCTGTCCTGGATAGTTGAGACTACTAAGGCTGAAGAATCGTAGATGCCTGGTCTCTAAGGTACGCAGGTTCGAATCTTGCCTCAGGCATGGATGTTTGTGTGTGCTTGTGTTCCCCCATTGTGAACAATCAAAGTGATTGCTACATGGCCTAGTAGTTACAAAGTGACTTTAAAAAAGGGTTGTCTTTCTTGATTACATTAATGTCTTTAATATCTAATTTCTCCACAAAATAATTGATAATGAAAAACTTATCTATGACAATACTAAAGAACATTCTTAAAGAGCTTACCTTACTACCACACAATTTTCTTGTCTTGCAATTCTGTCCACTTCTTCAATTGAAATCTGATCTATTTTGTTGTATACATACACACATGGAAGATAAACTCTATTAGCGCAAATAACATCTATTAACTCATCAGCTCCAACATCTTCTCTAAAAAGAACCTGCAAATACTAAGACTTATTCAATGTTCAATGTAACCTTTCAAACACTATGAATTAATGTTCTGTTAAACATATTACCTCTGCGTTGAAAATCTTGTACTCGTGGAGGATCATCTGCACAAGTTTCTCATCTACTCTAGTCAAAGGGCATGTAGAATTAAATGACAAGCCTCCACCCTTTTTAACCTGAGGACATCAAATTATATGTTATAACCAAACAAAAAAACATCCTGCTAGTACACTCCTTCAATGCTCTTACTTTATAAAAAATACATAAGAAACTGCAAAAAATTAAAATATACACACGACTTTATCTTTGTAATCTCTGAGTAAAACTTATTTAATTGTCTGTCCTACATCACTGTCTTCAACATTTATATCATCAATAGATCAATATTCTAAAGGTAGACAAGTGCTACTGGTAAATCTTTGCTAGAACAAAAAAATTCTTACATTTTATAAGTATGATCTTAACAACTAACAATTGCTTTTACTTACCTTAAATTAATAGTTAAAATTCAGTTTAAGCCTCTCCCCCCCTGAAAAAACTCACACTCACACACAGAAACTTAATCCTTGTTCTTTGAAAGCCTAGTTTGGCAACCTATGGGAGCTACTTAATAAATGGTTCAGTACAGAAAATAATAGCAAAATAGCAAGCACAAAAGATGGATTATTTAATTTTTTAAAACATGTGAATGTTAATTTTGTTGAAATTTAAAAAAATGAAGTTTTTTTTGTTCAGTAAGTTTTTTAAAATAAGAAGTCATTGTTAGGTCATATATTTCAAACATACTATTTACTTGCAGTGTGTTTGATGAAAAGATAGTGATCATCTTAATGTGATGTGAGTAGTAAATGTTTAACATGATGCAGTGCCTTTCTGCAGTGATAATTCCAACTCTAAGTACCAAAAACTTGCCTAATAAAATTTCTTCACATACTGAAAATTCAGTGTCATCAGGATTTATTGTTTGCCTTGTGTAGTTTCTAATTCTTCTTTCTACATTAGTAGCTTTGTAGTTACAAAGCTACTAATAGTAATAATAATTATTATTTAACAGCATAGGCAACAATCAGTCAACTGAGAGCAATAATTTGCTCACCTTCATATTACACAAACGTTTAGAGATATTTTGGCTCATCGACATTTCTAAACACTGATTTTGAAATATAATTACAAATAACTAATTTTAACTACCCTGATCAAGAAATAAGTATTTGCTATTTTTTTTATATATATTACAATAAATACATTGGAGAAAAACAAAACATTTCAATAATACAGAATTTAGAGTAACATAGGGGGTTTGCTTGCATTATTCTGGACCAAGAGCTCACCAAATACTTTTTGATTTGCTTTTATTATTGAATGTAACTTTGTTATATGTTTGGCAAAAGTGATTTTTATTTATTTGTTTATTTATTTATACAGAAATATATCGAATGAATTTCCTCAATTACAGGATAATATAAATTATTTAGCTAATCATTTGTAACAATGACAATCTGTTACAGCTGTTTTTAACACTTTTAATCCTACAGATTTATCTGATTCATCATCCTCATTTTATTGCAGTACCCTATGGACATAAGTCATACATCCTTCTACATTTATCGACTTTAATGAGTCATAAACATATTTTGGACGTTCATAGACACTTAGAATAGTTTTTTTATATCATTAAGGTGATCACAAGACAGATGCCAATGTATGCTTCTATTTTCTGCAAGTATTTGGAATTTTTCCAGGAAGCGATAGGATATTCATACTTGCCGGCACTGTTGATTTAGAATGTCTTCCTTTGTAATAGTGTTTGTGCTGTTACTGACATATACAGATGTTTAGAAGACATAGTTGTAAAATTCACAGTGGCTCTCAACATTAGAAGTTCAACAGCTTTTGAATAATGGATCAGAACTAGATTCTTCTCATGAGGACGCTGATTTTATTCCTGGACTGCTGTCTTGTTTGAGCAATGAAAATTATAGTGATGAGAGTAATAATGATGCAAATGATTCTATTGTTGAGCCTTCTCTAAATCAAGATATTCATTTCCTTTAGTCAAAATGATAAACCATCTGAATTACCAATGTTTGAGAAAACCAGTGAAATAAAATTTCCTATAAATTAAGACTCAACTGAACTAGACTATTTTTCCAGCCACAGCATATTGCAAAAAATAAAGGCAGAAATAAATAGATATGTAAATGGAATTATATTTGAACTTAAACAAAATATAATTGTAGTGCACCAATATTGTTGACATATAAAGTTCACTGCGTTTCCCCTCATATTTTGTAACATTGATACGTTCCACAGAAATATAAAATTGACAACATGTGTTTCTTTGAATTCCAATCTCACTACCATCTTATAATCAAGCGAACATAAAATACATATAGATTACAAGATTTTGTCAATATCCAACTGATATGTGATAATTTTTGTTTTAAGTTTTCAATAACAGCTATATTACCCAATACACAGGAGTTAAACACGTGTATACCTCAGGATCTACCCACCCACACACCACACACACACACACCCAACCACACTTCTCAATTGAGATTTAAATTATTTAAATAATAACCATTTGAGAGATTAGTCTTTAGGGGCTGCCTACACCGTTTGCAAGTTACCTTGAAATAGATATTAGGTTTACGCTTGTTGAGGCGTATACCAACACTTTCCAGCTCCCGTTCTAGAAGAGTACGTTGCACATCTTGCTTTGTAGCATCCAACATCATCAGAACAAGATCAGCAGTTCTTGCTACAGCAATTACTTGCCGTCCACGACCTTTGCCTTGAGCAGCACCTTCAATGATACCTGGGAGATCCAAGAGTTGTATATTTGCACCACGATAATCGATCACTCCAGGAATGCATGTCAGTGTCGTGAACTCATATGATGCTGCTTCACTTTCAGTAGCTGTCAATGTGCTCAAAAGGGTTGACTGAAACACATTGAAATTCAAATAAGAATGAGAGATATTCTAAAATGAATTAACAGGTATCATGTCTTGGGTTTTTAAATTATAATCAATATTTCCGAAAATCTAACCAACAAAACACTTTTCATCTATTTCTAGTGTCAATATCATTGCATTGCACTTCAACATCATAAATATCATGCAGTATATTTCATTCTATAAAATGAATTGCATATTACCAACTTCTAATTCATGAAAAGTTTCAAATGTGCTCTTACTCATACAAATCTACATTGTCAGAGAAGATTCATAAAAACTGGTAGTGAATAGAAGCATAAATAATTTTCATATTTCTAAAGAATTTTGTTAAAAATTTGGTATTTGAACACATTAGAAATCAAATATTTTAGCAATAATATTAATGTTGATTTAGCACCACCAGACAAAAAATTCACATCAGGGAATTTGTATGTATTTCTGCAAGGTTTATTTACTAAAAACAATTAAAATGCAAATTTTATAAACTGGAGAACTTTACAATCATTTTTTTATTAATTTTATAATTGATTCATAATTTTTTTATCTTCAGTGAAAAAAATACTGCAAAAGCAATGTTTGTTATATTAGTAAACTCGAGTGTTACATTCTACATGGAAAAATTTAATATCCTCCTAGAAACATGGATAATAATTCCTTGAATTATAATATCTAATGATTCAACTGCCTTCTGTGAATTATTTAAAATAGATTCAAAACAGACAGAAAAAAACAATTTTTGTTTAATGAATAACTTAAGCTAGTACACACCTTGCCAACAGATGGGAATCCTATTAGAGCTACTCGGGCATCACCAGACTTGAGCACATCAAACCCTTCACCTTTTTCCGACTTTTTGGAGGGCTCTAACAACTGCGACCTATACTTGGCAAGTTTAGCCTTAAGTAGTCCCAAGTGGTACTCAGTAGCTGAAAATAATATTCATACATTTACACACTCCCACCCAAAACTTTCAATCACTTCTTTGTCAATTTTATTAAAACCATAACATGTTTTCACCAATAAAAGGGATTATTAATAACTTTTCTTTGGTAATGACACGTCCTGCACGCATGGAAATGATATCAGCATATTACCTTTATTTTTCTGAGTTCTTGCAATTTCCTTCTCTATTTCTGAAATTTTTTCTAGTATTCCCATTTTCTTCGTCGATTTTCAAAAATTTTGACAAGTACGATCAATCTATTTTGACATGCACATCAACTCCTTAACCTTAAAACCCCAGAGCGGGGCGGTGAGCACTGGTTGCACACTTCTACAGCAAAGAGAAGGCAGTACAGCTGGCAGAAAGTATATTTAACACTCTTTGGACTAGCCATCCAGTGAAGTTCGCTGAGTGAACCAATATATTTTATAACCAGATAACTGATTATAACCTCATTGGAGCGAACACATCAGAGGCATAGATTAACACATTGATCTATACAGATCACTGGATTAACGCCATAGATCTATTCATCACCATCTATTCATCCATGCCAAAAGCACGACCGACGCACTTTCACTGCCATTTGAAAAATTCTTAAACAAATGATGCGTGAAAACTACATATATATTTTTTTAAATGCAAGTGCTTAAATGAAAACAGGTTTCTGCAATTAATTCCGTGTATTCACGTTCTGCATAAATGTATCAACGAAGCACGATTCGTATTTTGGACGCAAAGAAAATTATTAGTTTATATCAACGCGAACGAAAGGCAGCTGTCATTTTCGCCTTCTATTATCAGTGTGGCATTACAACAATGTGTTGCAACAAGACCGCTAATTCGTATGGGATACATCAGAGAGTATACTCACTTTGACATACACATTTTGCCAATTAGCATTCTCTCAAGCAAGAAAATTAAAAATAGATAGAAAAAAATAATAATTAAATATAATACTTTTATATCCATCAAAATTATTTTTTGATGTACATTACTCTTCATTCACACATTTTTTATCCAAAACGAAATCATCTATTTGTTTTCACATTTAACTCAAGTAAAGGACGCAATTTAAAATAGGTTTTAAACAGTTTCTAAAATATATATTTTAAAACATATAATAAACGCTCGAACGTAAGAAACGAATAAAGAAATATGAAATAATATACAAATTCTAACCAGAGCCATCGTTAAAAAATTTTGGACAATTCTGGACAGTGCTTAAACGTAGCCTCCGGGGGGGAGGGCCCACACACACACACTGAAAGAATTAAAAACGTGAATGTTTTATCAAGAAACTATGAGTTATTTTATTTATTTGAACAAATAACACAAATTACGTTTAAATTAGAAAAAGGTTTTGGAAATATATTTTAAATAATAGTTTTGAGTAAAAATATTAAGCTATCAAGTAATATAATTTCCACGGCGAGCTTAAAACGCTAAAAAAATTGATTTATTTAGTTAGTGTTTAATAAAGTCACTTGTTAAATACTTGTATTATTCCGTGAATGAAATAAGAAATGTAAATTTCAATAGATCCTATTAGCGTCATTTGATTCATTTCATAGAGTCCTATCTTATAAGTAATGACTGCAATTACCTATTGAAGGGGAAAAGTTAATTGAATGCTTTAGAAATATCAGACTACTGTACCGCGACGTATTAAATTACGATGACGATTTTTTTAAGTTCTAATTTCTTTATCTATTTTTAGTAATTCTTTCCTGCCAGTCCAAAGTCGGGCACCTTGGCTTGTGGGACCCCGGGCGTTCTCCCGTTCTGCCCATGCCTTTATACGTAGCGTCGGCACTAACTTACGTAGCATCCAACTGTCTGCCGTCACAATTAATTTAAAGCTCACGAAGGGCAGTACATTCGGAGCGGGCGACTATGTTTATCACCAAATTGCTCAAAAAATACTTAAATTTCATTTTTTTAAAAATGTATCTTCACCATTGTAGTTGTAGGAAGACGCCGAATTTTTATTATTTTAGAAAAATCAGGCATTTCAACGACCATGAAACTTACACCATTATTTTATGCGCCCTTTACTCTATCTAAAATTCAAATTTAATAAAAAAAGGATGTCCTTTTTTTAAGAAGAAAAAAAAAAGTTTTAAAAGCAATAAAAATTGTCTATGTTTGACACAAAATTTCTCACAAGATTCTCATATTTTTGAAAAGTCGAACACGACATCATTTTTAGATATGTTTTTCATGAACATATTTTATTAGGATGAAATGTTTCAAAATTGGAACTGTAGGAAGACGCCTGTAGGAAAAACTATAGGAAAAAAAAATATTCAGTTTTCGAAAAATCAGGGTTTTTAAACAACAACATTAAACAACCTGCGCCATTCTCTTAAACGTTCCAGGACTAAACTTTTGAAAATGAAAAGGGGCTTCATGTAAAGTACCCCAAAATTAAAATATCGGTTTCATATACAAAGGGCCGCCACATCAGCCAGATCGTTTGGGGAATACCAATTTTGGAGAGAATCGGCTGAAAGGTTTTGCCGCTGTAATTATTCACAGACGGGCAGGCGTTTTACTGTCAATCGATTTTTCAGTATAAAGAACCCACGAAACATGGAGTTTGCGCCACCTCGAACGTTAAAGCACTATCGATCTTCTGCGCAAACGTATTTTAAGTTTCGCATCACTTAGTGCATATGCGCATGAGCAAAAGATCGATAATGCTGCCGCTATGGCATGCAGAAACTCTCTATGAATCCTGGCTACACCACGTGTTACAAGTTTTTTGTTTCGTTTAGCTTTTGGATTTATGCAATTTATTTGTACCTGTAAAAACGTTTTTGTCTGGAAAATTCGCCGTTTTTTCGCGCACTATTACAAAACTTTCTACCACGTAAGAGGTAGCGAGAAAGTAAAAAAATAATTTATTCCCATTCTCACTTTTACGAATTTTTCGTAAATTTCTTCTTTGCGTATCATTGGCTGCATTAGGGAGTTTGTGCGCTCCAGAGCGGACAGCACTATCGATCTTCTGCACATGCGCAGATGCACTAAACTGGTCCAAAATTTGAACTGCGCATGCGCTGAAGATCGATAGTGCTTTAACAGTCGAGGTGGCAAGAACTCCCTAGGACATGCCTTTGTGGTCTCTACGCATGCGTTAACTCGAACTCGAAAGTGTAGCCTGCTTTTCCACCATGGAGCCAACTAACTGTCGATGACCGAAAAGTCGAGACACAATCAAATCGATATTAAATCGATATCAAATATAATTCGTTATCGATTATTGTAATGTTCTTGATTGACATTTAAAATAAAGGGAGAAAGAAATATTTTTCAAGAAAAGTTAAATCAAATCCTCCCCAAAATATTCCGAAGTTTATTTCTCCGATTCTTTTCATAAAACTTGATAATTTAAAATTTATGATATTTATGAAAGCGTCATTAAGTTGTGCGAGGAAACTCGGAGGAACATTTGAAAGTGCAAATTCTACTTCGGCCCCGAAGGAGGCTTGAAGTTTGTATGGTTGACGCAACATGTACTGATTAGAGGTTATGTCTGTTGTAATCCAGAAATATGATATGCATGTGTGGTTGAAATGTGCGTGTTAACGAACGTATAACGTACTTCTCGTATATTAAGGAGTCATACAAATAAAAAAAAATGCTTTCTCACGTGCAGGCTAGGTAAAAGATATTTTAATTTTTCAGTTAATTTGTATTGTAAGATGTATTTAATACCTCTCTAAACTGAAATGTTTTTTAATAGCTACAATAATAATTTGCTGACTAAAGCATTGGTGACACTATCACTCTTCTGGCGTCGAAAAATGAGAATTTTTCAAAACCAAACTTTGGATGATGAAGAAGAGATGCCTCTTCCTCTAATTGAGAAACCATTTACTACAGAGGATAATATTATTTCCTGGCTTCGTTTAGTATCTCCAGGTTTCATAGTGGACCCCAACAAGGTAACCAGTCAGTTATTAAAAGTTTTAAATTATATATGAGAACATTAACAATGACAAGTGTTTTCATTTGTAGGTATCAGTTCTGTATGAACCTCAGGAGTTCTATAGCAAACTTTTAAGTTTAAGTCAATCTGCACAATCACAAATTTCCTTGGCATCTTTATACCTTGGTTCTGGCACTTTAGAACAAGACTTGGTGAGTTTTCTAATTTTATTATCATAGTATTCAGTCACTTAAATATTTAGAAGAAATTTTTAATAATTTTTATTGTATAATTTCTAATAGAATCTAGATTGTTTATCTAGATTCTATTAGAAATCTATCTCTTGTACTAGACAGTAATTGTTTATCTTGCTATTTTATAAGAGAAATGTACAATTTCTTTGATGTACTTTTTGTACATTATTTTTTCCTTGAATGAACATAAGGAGATTTTTGAAATTCTTCCTTGAGACACTTTCTATTTTCTAAGAATTCTAAAAATGAGTTATAATTTAGAGAGAATTTTTAATTACTTTATGTATATAAAGGAATGTTTTTCTAACATTCCAAAGTGTACAATCAAATGAGTTAAAAGAAAAGTATTCACCCTTTCCTTAATATTCTTATTTTTCATTACAGAATTTAATCTGTGATGGAAATTTTACATCTGCTTTTCATGTCCCCCTTTTCTGAAAGACACTGCTTTTATTTTTCATTTTATTTGGAATAATGCATTGGATGTTCAAATGTAACACTGCTTGTATTAACTCTAAGCCATAGAGTATTGCACTTTGTAGTTGCAAATATTTTGAAAATTGAAACTTTTAGTACAATGTTATAGTGTGCAAAGTGCATTTTTGCCTATTCTGCAAATAAATGTAGATAGCTTGGAATATTTATAAATACCAGTTAGTGTATTTCATTTCTGTTAAAAATTTCTTTATGATCATTAAAGAGTGCTACTTTAACCCTTGCTGTAAAACATTATTGTGTTGTATAGGTAAATACCTTATGTGACAATCTGTCCCGTTCCAAAGGACTGTTGTTGACTGTACTACTAGATTATAATCGGGGTTCCCGAGGACCTGTAAGTTCACGTCAAATTTTGCATCCCTTAGTGCAAAAATTTCCAGAACAGTGCCATGTAAGTATTCATTTTTTTCTTTTTATTGCAGAGGGTTTTTTTTATGACCTTAACAAAACAGACTCAGTATTTTTTTTTATATCACATTTTCTTTCTTTTTGATTCTTTGACCCTATTTGGGGTCTTTCTCAAAAATCTATTGTCCATTTCCTTGACATATCATAAACAAACAGCATTTTGAAAAAAAATTGTGATTGGTATAAAAAACTGGTCATGTTGTAAAAATCATCTGGTCAACTGTTCATCTAGTAAGTTTTGTTAGGGTCAAAAAAACCATTGCAATAAAATAAACAACATAACTGAAGTTAATTTATTCATTAAAATTCATTTCTTTTTCTTTCCCATGAGAACAATGTATGCATGCATTTCATTAAATTTGTGAAAATTGTAATATATTTATTGAGTATTTCTTTATTTAAGTATTTTAGCATATATACACAGATGATTTCATTAATTTTGAGGTTCATTAAATGAGAGTTTGAAGTGTACAATGAAGCATAATTCAACAAGTTAAAGAATAGTACCATCATTTCTTAAAGTCATGTTTAATAGAATGTTTTAACATTAATAGCGCTTTTGTCTTCAATATTGATTTAAAAAGTTTTTAGTCTTTTTTATTTTATGTATTTTATATCAAAACCAGTTAAAAACGATGTCTGACATGCTAGGGGGAGAAGTGTGTTCTGTGCACATTTTCTTCATTCTGGGATCCCTTCTCTAAACCATATAAAATATGAAATCTGAATAAAGGAAGAAATTCCTCTCTCTATTGAGCTTGGAATCTTACCATTGCCTAGCCTATTTATTTATGAATATGTAATATTCGTCAAAACTGACTTAATGGTGGGAACATATTTTCATGCAATACTGATGTTTATAATTATAACACATGTGGAAGAAACCATGTTCATTGAGTGTCATTATCAACAGCTCACTGCCAGAAATTCACAATACAAGTACGTTACTTTAGAACACACTGCCAGATGAAATTGAACAATTGAAGTCGGTTCACAAATTTAAGTTAATAGTAAAATATTTTCTGCTGCATAAATGTTTCTATACAATTACAGACTATACCGATCATCAAAAAGAAAAATAATATGTATTTTAACAAAATAGTGATATAGAATGAATTAGTTTACATTTGTATTGTATATTTTTTTTAAAAAGCCTTAACATGCTTGTAACAAATAATGTACTTCAGCTTCCGGGTCAAAAACCCCCATCTCGATCAGGTTTTTGTCCCTGTTTCCCTGATCCATTGAGCAAATGCTGAGATAGTCCCTTGCTTTGCTTCTGGACGTAAATGTAGCTTCCCTATGCGCACATTTTGTTGAACTCTCCTTTTGCTTGAGGTGGTAGGAGTAGAGGTAAGGGCAAGTTACTATTTTGTTAGCAATGCAGAAACATCAAATCTGCAGTTCTTTTAAGTTTTCTATAACTCAAGAATAAAAATATCTAGTTTCTCAAATTAGATATTTTTTGACAAACTAGAATTTTTTGACACTATTTAGACACAATACAGAGACCATAATCCTCTTTTTGGATAAAAGGTGTAGCCAAAGGCACATTAAAGATCATTAATTTATTCTTTTGATAACTTTAAATGAGCATTAAAATCACCCCGTGACAATTTTTAAAGATCTCCAAATTATTTAGTGACTGTTGTTTTCAGTGTTTTCTATATAATGTTAATGAAACTTGAAATTCATGTTGTACATAAATGCTGCATTTCAAATTTATAAAATTTGGGGCACAATTTTCATATAGCTGAAGTGTCTTATTAATTAGTAATCCTAAAATAATTTGAGTAATTGTGGGAATTCTACAATTTCGTCTAGTCCTCAACTAGCGTGGAAGGTACACTACCACCTCAGGCGAAAAAACCTTCACTATACTGATTCACAGGACTAATGAATATAGTTGTTACCATGCCTGAAAACATTGATCAATCCTATAAGAGTTTCTTAGTATTCACATTCATTGATGACTTCAGGACTGCCAATTTTTCTGATCAAGTAGGAAGGAGGTTGTGTAGCTTGACCCAGATTCTTGCATGCATTACTTGCATGTAGAACTTCTGTTAATTCAGAAAAAATCCAGTTATATGTATCCCTGAGTTTGTGGTACTTCAGTAAACAATACCAATAGGACAACGAGCATAATCTAAATCAGCTAAATAAGAAGTATATGAAAATAATATTTGTATGCTGTATATTTATAACAAAGGAAATTAAAATACATGATGTGGAGTACGAAATACAGCTAAGTAAAATTGCCTATTCTTTTAGTTCTTTGTTTTTATATTTTCACTTTGCTATGAAAACATTGCTATGACACGATATGGAAGCCAAAACATGTTAGTGTGCACCAAAAGATTTACTATACTTTAGATATTGATGGTAACCTAAAACTATAAATAAAAGATACGTAACTTCTGGTCACAAAGTATTTATAAGGTTCTTAGGGTGAGTTCTTACAGTATAAAGCTTTAAATTATTTGCATTCATAATTAGTTCACTTATTGAACTTGAAATAGTCATTGAATTAATTATTTTAGCATATTCAAAGTTACATTGCACATTAATAAGTAAATAGGTACATTGAGAGGATATATCATTTTGTAATTTCTTATTTTGCCCTCAAAATTATAAAGTACCATTTATATTCAACTTAAAAATACAAATTATTTGGTATTTTTGGAACAGAAATTTGAAGTATAGTTCATGATTTTTTTTTCAGATGTTTAGTTTTACAAGATTTTTTTTAGCATACTAATGTTTTGGCTAATTTATTGATCTTCATGGTTATGAAGTGTATGGACAACAGTATATGTGTACAGGGCAAGGGATGTGCTCATCTAATTAGAATTGTATGTATATTATGTCTGGTTGTAATCATGATGAAGAGTAAATAAATCATCTGAAACATTTGTATTTGGATAATACTTATGAACATTTGTTTATTGACCTAACTCAAAAACATTTCATCAATAAGTTATTTTATATTAATTGTAGTTATTATTATTATTTTTGGGGTTTAAAATGAATTGTATGTATTTTGATAGTATGCACTGTGTGTAAATTTGTAATACTTTGCCCTCATAATAATTTTTAATAATATCTCATTAGAATAATTCATTAAAACAATAAGCATATTCTTTTTATTGAAAATGTATAGGGAGTTAAGTGCTAATGGGAACTAATTATAGCCTTTGAAGTTGAGTTTAAATTAATATTTTGTGATTTCATGTGGCTTATGTTTAATCAAGTGATGTCCTTTGATTTCTCCAGGTAGCCTTGTATCATACACCTCTCTTGCGTGAACCACTTCGCTCATGGCTGCCTGGCCGGGCCAATGAATTAGTTGGACTTCAACATATGAAACTATATGCCTTTGATGATACTATCATTATTAGCGGGTGAGTATGTAATAGTAAACATAGAAATGATTTTTGAATATGAATACAAAATTTAGTTTTTTATAAATAATAGTTTAATGACCGTACATCTTCATCAATTCATCATAACATCAATTCATGATGTCATTATTATTTCAATCATAAACTTTCAATTTTCAAATTTAAATTTTGTTTTAAATTGTGTCCTGTTAAATCCCTTCTATCATTGTTAACAGCTTCTCTTTTCACAGCATCCTTTGCATCTACTATTGGTGAATAGTTTTGTGTCCAGTTGTAGATTGAGATTGGTGGTTAGATGTCATTCCCAAAGACTGCTGGAATTGACTTTCTTTATATGGTGAAGGGCCATACTTGTGCATTGTCCCTGGCCTTAACATGTGTAGAATGTTGCAACAGACATCTCACAGTTTTCTGCCACTCTTTCGCACTATCATGTCAATGTTTTCCTAGATAATCATTTGTCAAAATTATATTGCTGCATGTAATGGCTACCATGCCTGACTTCTTTTGGAAGGACTTGAGAGATGAACTTTTGCCTTACCCTCTCATTGTGATAACATTATCAGGGCAGATCCAGACAATTCTTAGCGGGGACTGTTTTGAAAAATTCAAATTTGAACAGTCTGATTAATTAATCCTACATCTACATCTATCTGCTACTTGAGGTATTTTGGAGAATTATTAAATTCTAATTGTTTTTTAATACAGATTTCTTTGACTATTACCAGTGCTATGATAAAATTCAGTATTCTGTACATTTTTGAACAGAATTAAATTGTACTTACATAAATAGGCCCCTCAATTTTTAGTTCAGAATAATAATTAAAGTAATTTAATGGATAATTTAAAAAGTTGTGGAAATTGTTGGCTTTTTAAAAGCAATATTCTTTGACCTCGAAAATTGTTTTTTTAAAATTTGAATTATTAGTTTGAATCTCATCATGTGCATCCATTATTTCACATTGAGACTGAAAATTCAGCTGGGCAAGTGCCATAATGTATCCTTAAACCAGTTCACTTTTGTGGTCATGTTTCTCTCATATTACTTTGGGAACTTTGAATGCTTTTGAATGTGAAACTGAAAAAATCTGAAGCATAAAGGCCATCTCAGATATTTGTGGAGTGTTGGTTTATGTGCAGTATTGCACCAAGGTAATTTGTGCCCTTGTGCAAACTTTTGTTTGCCACTCTCATGTTGTAATGTTATGGATTATGTTACATAGATTTTATTTAGCTTATCCAGTCTTTTGACTATGAAGTTGATTGGTAACTACTGAACTGTAAGAGCAAGGCATAAGCGGATTGGTAGATTGATTAGTGATTCAGGGCACGTCAATGGCTAAGGTCATTAGTCCTTAAGTGTAGTGCACGTTTTTATTGCGGGAGGCGGTGGTAATCTTTCCTCACTGGAAGGCGAGATGAAGCGCCAATATACCTGGACTTCTGGGGATTTTCCTCAACTAGGTATCTCCCATCGGGGACAAGCCTTAAGCTCCTGATTGCTTGTGGTAGTGTAGTGCATGTGAGTGTAAGTGTGTGTAAGGGCTGAGAGGAGAGGGCAAGGAAGAGGAAGGAAAAGTCGCGCGCGGTCCGAGGCCCGTTTGCTATAGTACTGTTCTGGCATTCACCCGGTGTTGGTAGGAACAAACACCGAAATTTACCTATCAGAGCAGCCGGCCGCTAGAATTCTCCTACAGACAGCGGCTGAAATCGACCCAGCTATCTACTAGCTAGTGTCGAAAATCCTGCCACCATGAGAACCTAGGACCTTCCGGTCAGAGGCACTGCTGTGACACCAGTGATGCTCTGTGCCACCCAAGTCCGGCTGGTCATCCGACATGGGTATAGTAGAGTATTGCATGTAAGGGGAGAGGAGGCGCAAGAATTAGGACGGAGGTTAACTGAGGGAACTACTATACTACTATACAGTCGTGGCATAACGAAACTTCCAGAGTTTGCCTATAAACCGCAGCAACTACAATAATTGTATTTACTTCCATTGTCTCTGAAAAAATCACGAAACCCCCATTAATGATTGTGAATAAGCGTGAATTTTGCTGTTGGAGTATCGCAGCCGGCCGAGAGCTCTTGCTCTTTAATTCGCCCTCGGTCCAACAGGGTCGCTCGGAACCTTAAACGTCGATCTGTCGCCGATCGTTGGAGCGAAGGCTGTCGGAAGGCCCGGAGCGGTGGCGTGGCCCCCGTCACTCGGGAGTGACTCGGGCGTCCCTTCGGGCGACGGTTCGCGGGTTTTAGGGCTGGCAGCCGGAGCCTGGCCTCAGAGTGTTTCAATCGGGATTAACGCGCTCCTCCGGTTAGCTCTGGTTCAACCGACTGGAGGGAAACAGATTCGGAGGTCAGGTGAATTAGTTCACGCGGCAGGATCCGCTCGGTTTACTGCGCCGATCAGAACGTGCGTACGGAACCGTTGCCCTGTGTTCTGAGCATTGGAATTGGCACGATGTGCGACTCTTGAGAAATGGCATGGGGACGGGGTGGGACGTCGCATTTGCGAACTTCTCTTCTCCGGTGTACATCTGTTACTACAATATTATAAAATAACAACACAAAATTGTCGTGTAATACTGCGCGCCACGAATGACAAGTTAAATTTTATACGCTTATTTCATACATTTTGTATTTAAAGCAATATAGCCCCCGCGCGGGCCATCATATCTGCGGAAAGTGAGATGGGAGGCCATGGATGCATTCGAGTCAATATCCCGGTCGACGGCTCTCGATGGCTAACCAGAGCTACATCGTCTCAGAAGATTATTTTTCCCCACGCGAAGGGGGTGTTGATTAGAAATGCATGCCCATATTATGAGTCCATTGCATCACGGGCGTATCACTAGCTGGTTCTGGGAAATACACGAGAAAGGAAAATGTTAGATATTTGAATTTCGCGGACAAGAACCAATCGGAGACCCCGATTGAAAAGGTGGGAAAGAATCAGTGGAAAACCTATCACTCAGTTGGTAGCACTGGTTTACTCGTATACTGATCCATATACAATGGTACGCAGATGCGCATTAGCTTTCCCCCCGCCACTTTCTATGTTTCGTTTTTGTTGAAGAGATCCCTGTTCCAGTCAAAGTACTTTGCCGTACAAGAGAAGTATGCTATAATTTGCGCCGACTTCGCATTCGGGAGGCCCGGATTCAATCGCCGTGCCGGCCATCCTGACCGTGTTTTTCTGGCTTTCCTAGTTCATCCAGGCGAATGCTGGGATGGATCTACTGAAAGGCCGCAACCGCGAAGCCGGCGTCGCTAGCCGAATTCGTTCACTACGTGAAGTCACGAAGGTTAAGCGCATTCGAGACATCGCGGGTACGTAGTTGGGTGGCCGACTAGGAACCCCGGGGTTTAACGACACCGAAGCCAATTGCCCTTTACGGACGTATAATGGCTGAATACAAATCTGTTGCTGGAGGAGGGTAGTTTAGACGCGCGGCCATCGAGGCGCGCTGGGTGCGCAATGCTCTTGGTGCGGTGGCGGCGGCGGCGATGTGTGTCTGTATAGTAGTAGTAGGGGGGTCAGTGTTTTACGCAGGAATCTTTTAACTGGAGTGTGGTTTTCCGTTGAATACCAGGTGAATGTCGGAACAGTTCCTTTACAAACGGGCCACGCGATGCCCTTTGTTCAGGAACTGTTCCGTAAAAAATACTCCACAACTATTAGTATTTAAAATAAATTATACACGATATAATTTAAAAATCTAAAATTTAGGGATAAAAGATAATAATCCTCAAAATTAAAATATCGTAGTTATCCCCGGTACTGCACATCTTTATCTTATTCCTGTAATGTTTACCTGATTTGAGCTCAAGCTCTGACAGAGTCAAGGGTGTCACATACTTCCATCCAACCAGATGACCCCATTTTCAGATACAAAACTGCTCTCCGCCTGGACCAATCTTAACCACGTTTGCACACTTGTAGACCTTAATCATTAAGTGTGTGTGCGAAGTTGGGGA